TGTGTTGAGAGCATTATTCATAATACTCAAAAGCAGAAACACCAAATGTTCAACTGATGAGTAGATAAACAAAATGTTATATGAGAGAATTTTACTCAGCCATATAAAAGGACTGATACATGCTACAACATGGATTAAACTTGAAAGTACTTGCTAAACAAAAGAAACCAAACATAAAAACCCCACATATAGGGGCTGGTGTTGTAGCTCAGTGGAAGAGTGCCTGCCCAGCATGTGTGAGGCACTGGGTTTGATTCTCAGCAGTAACACATTAAAATAAATAAAGTAAAAGTATCCTGTCCATCTACAACAACAAAATTTTAAAAACTCACATATTGTATGATTCTTCTTAAAATGAAATGCCCAGTACTGGTAAATCCTTAGATAGAAAGTAGAAGAGTAGTTGGTAGGGGTTAGAGAGAAGAGGTATAGAATGAGTACTTAAATGGATATGAGGTTCCTTTTTGTTTTGTTGAAGATGTTCTGGAATTAGATAGTGGTGATGGTTGCCCAATATTGTTAGTATATTGGAAGCCACTGAATTGTACACTTCAAAATTGCCAAAATGCTAATTTTTGTTTTATGAATTTAACCTCAATTTTTTAAAAAAAATCTATGAGATACCAGTTCACACCTTGTGTGTGATAAAGATGTGCAATAGGTAGGACTCTCATACACTGCTGCTGGAGGAAGAGTTAAAAAATTCAATAGTTTCTCATACTATGAAACAATCAGTTATTATCTGATCTAGCAATCCAAGAGAAATAAAAGTGTGTCCCACCCCCCGCAAAAAAAAAAAAAAAAGAACACTTGTATACAATGTTCATAGCAGGATTATTCACAGCAGGATTATTCCTAACAGCCCCAAAGAGACTAAATATGCATCGATAGGTAAATAGATAATCAAACTGATACTTACACACAATGGAACACTAGTCAGCAATAAAAAAGAAGAAACTAAGACATATAACATCAATGAATCACAAAAATAATTAAATACTATATAATGAAAAATAATTAACCTAAAGTATACAAATTCTATCATTCATAATAAAGCTGAAACAATTGTTTCAGGCACAATTGTTCTATAATAATAGAAATCAGAAGAGTGCTTATTTCTGGTTGAAAAGGGGAGACTGGAAAGAGGAATGAAGTATTCTGAGATGAACAAATATTCTACATTTTGAGGAACTGCCAAACTATTTTCCATATGGCTGTACCATTTTCCCACTGGAGTGATAATAGATAATAGATACTTGTTAGAACTTATCAATATGTATGCTTAAAATGAGTGCACTTTCTACATGCTGATTAATATCACTGGAAAAATTTTAATTTTATATGAACATCTATGGGTCTTATATTAGTTTATGGGTTTGTACCCATATCACTGACATTGCACACTGTTGCTCAAAAAATACAGAAGGAATGCAGGAAGTAGGGTAGGTAAACTGTTTTATGGTCATGGTCAAATGTGTTTAGTGCTTTCCTAAAGGAATTTATAACAGTTCAGGATGTAAGATACAGTCTTTGAAATAGTTAATTATCTATAACAGCTGTTAACAGCAGCCTCTGAATTTTTGTCTCAGGAAAATCTACTTCTAAATTCTGAATCCTCTTGTCTTGCTTATTCCCCATTTTTGTTCCTTCACTTAGGTTATATTTAAGTATTTGACAAGGTCAAATTTACCGTTTCCCAGTCTACCTTCACCTAAAACAGAATTCAGTACTATGACCACTAACCAATTTTATCCTTTTATATGCTTAGTCCACAAAACTAAGAACTTAATCTTGAAGAATTTATGTCCTCCATTTACCAGTGTAGTGAGACTATAAAATATTTTTAAAAATAATAAAAATGGGAACAGAAAACATTTCAGAAGTAACACCAATAATTGGCAAATGAATCAAACAGGAATGACTATTATTGATGGCCCCAAATGAACAGGATATAAAGGTTGACACTAAGCTAGGTTTGCTATAGATAGGAAAGAGAATAACTACTACCCAAGAGAAGAGACTTAACAAAAGAAAAGAGGACAGTGATACATATTGCAGAACTAATTTGTCTAAGACTCTACAATGTAAAGTTTATATTTGGATATGTGTGACATAATATGAGAAAGCAGATTAGTTCTCATTTGATAATCACAAAAAGTTACAGACTGACCTTCATTTACATGTGAGGAAATTCTAAAGTAGGTTAATATTTGTCCAAGGTCATGAAACTACTTAAAGTACTGAAAGAAATTCATTTCTCTTGATTCATAGCCAAATGTTCATTTAATTAGATGATTCTGTTTAATATTCTTTAATTTTTTCCTCAATAGAACTCTTTAACCAGCCAGGTGTGGTGGTACATGCCTGTAATCCCAGCTACTTTGGAGACTATCACAGAAGATTGATATCAAATTTGAGGTCAGCCTGTGCAATTTAGGGAAACCCTATTTCAAAATTTTAAAAAGGGCTTGGGATGTAGAGCAGTTGCCTAGCATGTGCAAGGCCCTGGGCTTAATCCCCAACCCCTTCTATCCCCCACCACACATAAAAGAACTCTTTAAGCAAGCTTCTCACCACAAATAAACCTCCCCCATTCCTCTCTTCTTGAATATAAACCCTTCATCTGAAGGGTTCTTTTTCTAGCACATTTTCAAGTTCTACTTTAACACAAACCTCACGCTTTTAGCAACAGACTTGATTATTGAGATGATAGGTAAGGAAATTTCTATCTTCACTGGTTATAGGTATATGACTAAATCCTTCCTGTGGCTACTAAAAGATTTGGGTTCCAATAATAACATTTTTAAAAACCTTGGATGATATATTGGAAAACTATCCAATAAGGCAGATTTTTTCCTTATTCAGGGCTTAGAATTATTATTGTGATGCAGTTATAGGTCCAGTAATGGGTGACTCTACAGCACAGGCTGCAACTTTTACTGTCCTGCTTCACTTAATAAGAAACATGACTTTTCTTTCATTAGAAAGAACATAAATGAACTGTCATTATTAATTTTCTTTAGTAGAAACACACTTAAATCTTTCCCATATCTTTTAAACTTTCAAAGACCCAAACTTCTTTTCTTATCACCACATTTTCCCACACTGACAAATTTCTTGACAGTATAATCAAACTGTCTCAACTTCAAATTTATCATTTTTATCTAGTATTTGCCTTTACCACATGCTCATATTCTCATCAAATAAACCAGTGATATTTCCCATACTAAAATCAAAGGCCTATTTTTCAAGTGTTAGCCTTTTTGAATTTGAGGGTGGAAGAGTTGGTGCAAAGTTCACCAGAATGACTGAGCTTTTACTCTATGCAAGGCAATGTAGTGATTAAACTTTCAAAAATGTTGCACTTAATCCTCCCAACAGCTCTCACAAGTATTACCTCATTTTCACAGATTAAATTTGAGGCTTAAAATTATCCATATCCAATAGCTTAGCGAAACCCAAACAATCTCAATGTTTGTAATTATGACTTTTGCCTTAAGTTTTGTTCCCAGTTCTCTTCCCAACTCTGAGGCCTTTTCTCCCTTTTTATCATCCTCTGCACATCATTACTTGTTTTATTTATGTGCCCTATTGGGCAATTTCATTTCCTTCCATGGCTTTAACTGTATTCTCTGTTAGTGTTCCTGGAACTTTTAAATCTTTCTTACAGACAAAATCTTGATGCTCTTTTTGTACTTTGTTTTGAAAATACACGATCTTTTTCTCAGAAATTATAATAAATATCCCCAACAAACTTTAATAAAGTTTCACCATTGTAGCTCCAGGTTCTTCAACCTAAACCTGTCCAAAACAAAATTCACATTTCTCCTTAGCAAACTTATCCATCTCGGTGTTCACCATTTTGGTTAACAGTGTCACAATCCATCTTTGTCTGTGTTTCAAGAAACCTTTTTGCAAAACGGTTATATTGACATTCTCTTCCTTTCCTGAGCTGAGATCAAAAATCAGTCACTATACAATTCCTACTATGGCCAGAACTAAAGGAATGCAAAACAAGACAAAATACAATCCTGTTCTTTAAGCAGTTAACCAGCAGAAACATACCAAAAAAAATTTTTAGGTATTTTCCCATTTATAAAACATTTCACAAACATTTAAATTTAATCTTTACGATATTCACATCACCATCCCCATTTTACAGATTAAAAAACTGAGACTTCATTTTCCACTCTTTTTTATTGTTCAAATAAACTTACACAAAAAAGGAAATTGCTCTGTACAGAACAAAAGTCAACAGAGCAGCGTACACAGCCAAACACCAAAGTGCCCCAAAGAGCGTCCTGAATGCGTTCTGGGGCTGTCCACTTTGTGAGGGCGGCGGAACTCTGGACCCACCTGGCCCCCGGCGCCCTCCGGCAGCCCTCGCCCCAGGAAGTCCCTGTGAGGCCAGCCTGCACCCGGCGGGGTCTGCGGGAAAACCTCGCTCTGCGGCTTGGAGTGCGCCTAGCTAGAGCTGTCACCGCTCAGCTCTGGCCAGCTCTGAGGCTGAGTGCAGGCTGGGCCGCAGTCACCGCGCTTCCAGCCTCCCGGATCGCCGACCTGCGGAAAAGGAGCGTACCTGGTGGAGAGGCGGCTAGAGGGTCAGCGGGCCCAGCCGACCTAGAAGGCGAGAAGGAGCCTGGCGGCAGTCTGGCCGACCTCAGCCGCTGCCAACTGCATCCACTACTCTCGGTCAACACCGAGCCACATTGATTCTTCAGATTATGCCGGACCCCGAAACCAAAGGCGGAGAGAGCCCGGGTTTGAAGCAAAAAGGGCATCGCGGTGGGGGAGGGGCGAAGGCGGAGACGCGATCTGGGGGCGGGGCGCAAAGGGGCGGGGCCACGTCACCAGGAGGCCGGCGCGAGGGAGCCAGGCGCTCGTCGGGAGGGAGCGGGACACCAGGAGGCGGGCACAAGAGGGCTGGGTGCGCATTACGAAGTGGCGGCCACTAGGGGGCGGCCACGAGGTCACAGCGCGTCGCCAGGAGGCGGGCGCGAAAGGGGCGGGCACGTGGAGCGAGCGCGAGGCGGGGCGCGGCGCGAGAGGGCGGGGCGCGCGTATCGTCGCCGCGGCCGCGTGACGCGTTTTCAAATCTTCAACCGCCGCAGCCCACTCGTTTGTGCTTTTTCCCTTTCCTCCTCCGCGCCTTGGAGCCGGACCCGTCCCCGGAAACTCGGCCCGCGGACCCGGCACCGTGAAAACCTCGGCGGACGAAAGGAAAGAGCGGGCCGTCCTGTCAACCGGGCCGGAGAAGCCTTGTTTTCGCGGCCGTCTGACGCCGCACCCGGGCCGGACCCAGCATGTAGGTGCCGGGCGGCTGCCATGAACTCCGGAGCCATGAGGATCCACAGCAAAGGACATTTCCAGGGTACGAAGCCCCTCCTCCGCCTGCTGTCCCTTTAATCTTCCTCCTGCCATGGTTCCACCATTGATCTTCAAGACTTCTCCCGCCAGGTCCACTGCTGCTTGGCTTTCCTGCTTGTCCTTCTCTGACCTGGAGGAAGGCTCATTCAGGGTTTTGCCTCAGAAAGGGAACGGTTTCCACGGCTCCTCGCGCTCTCCTGTCCCCGTCGCGGCCCCACATTCCCGGTGCGCGGGTGGGTGAAAACCTGCAGCGTGCGGACCCGGGAACCTGCCGGGTCTCGCGGGGCCTTCAGTTTAAAGGCCGATGTGTTTGTGCCTTTTCTCTTCCTCATTAGATTGTATGATTCTGGTTGGGTTTCTTGTCTTTAAATCATAGTTAAGGGACACTCTTTGTATTTCAAACACACCCATTGTTGGTTGCAACTTAATAGTGAGACAAAAGCAAATTTCCATTTTATTCATTTTATTTGGCAAAAACAGTTAAGCATCTGAAGTCATTCCTGTATGTGAGTATGTAGTAAACACCAAGAAATAGATTTGATTCCAAAAATTTAAAGCAGTTGCTTGCATCTGAGATGTTTTCAAAAATAATGGAATGAATGGTGATGTAGTTCTAAATGGACCATTAAGTTCTTTTTTTAAAATTTGTTTTAATTAGTTACACATGACAGTACAATGATCTTGACATATCATACATTTGAATCAGATGGGGTATAATTTCTCATTTTTCTGAGTGTACAGGTTGCAGAATCACATTGGTCATGCCTAAATGGACCATTAAGTTTTTAATATCTATATAAATGTGATTGAAATGATTCATTTAGTTCTTTTTAATAAAAGGCTTTATGTGAAACTTAAACTTGAGCAGTCAGTAAGTCTTAAAGACAAGGTCATTCTAGATAACAGGTTGTTTGGGTTGCTGTTCAACATTGTAAGCACCAATTTTGAATGTATACCAGAGTAGTGGAGGAAGGGCCCCCATGGAGTTTACAAACCTAAGAGTCTTTCAAAAAGGGCTTATGTAGTCCCATGCTTTAATACATTCAACAGGAATTTTTCCTGCTGATTTCAGCTGTTATTTTATAATATGAAATCTATGAACACATGCAGGGCATTTCACCTTTACCTAAAAGTACTACAGAAAAGTGCATTTAAACACTGATGACAAAAATTGATGTAATTATTTTTCTTGAGGTATTATTGCATATGAAATATTTTTAAAATAGTAAAATCTTGTCTGTACAAAACATGATCTAATAAACATTTTTAATAATAGGTGGAATCCAAGTCAAAAATGAAAAGAATAGACCATCTTTGAAATCTCTGAAAACTGATAACAGAACAGAAAAATCCAAATATAAGCCACTTTGGGGAAAAGTGTTTTACCTTGACTTACCTTCTGTCACCATATCTGAAAAACTGCAAAAGGACATAAAGGACCTGGGAGGGGTAAGTGAAAATCAATCGTACACTAACAAGAAAATATTTATAACTAGTATTTTCAAATATGTAATCATTTTAGTTTTTTCATTTTGCAAAATTTATGACCACCTTATCAGCACCAAGTTTAAAATTTTTACCAGCTATTTACAGAAAACCATTTGAGGACTAGAGATGTAGTTCAGTGGTTGCCTGAAAGCATCCCTGGGTTCAATCCCCAATATCAAAAAAAAAAGAAAAGTCATTTGTTCTGACCTTTTATAGCTTGACAAAACTTCAGGTTTCGGTGATTAGTAGTCTTGTGTAAATTAAGTGTGAAAAATGAGACTGCCAGGTATGATAGCGCACACCTGTAATCCCAGCAACTCAAGAGGCTGAGGCAGGAGGATTACAAGTTTAAGGTTAGCCTCAGCAAGTTAGTGAGATCCTGTTTCAAAATAAAAAGGACTGGCGATATTGCTCAGTAGTAAAGCAGCCCTGGGTTCAATGACTGGTACCAAAAAAGAGAGAGAGAGAGACTCCCTTTTCCTATTGGAACTGTTTATTGCCTTCTATATATACTGTTATGTTGTCCTCCAAATAGCAGAAACTCTTTGATGATGATTATTGGGAGACCACATAGAGTTAAATCTTCTTTCCTACCTTATACATGATTAGATGATTCCTACTGGATTTCAAGTTTCAGGTTTCTAAAGGTCATTTCATTCTGAGACTAGAAGCTCAGAAAAACATTTAACAAGTTGCCTAGAACTATTTGTCAATGTTATTTTACTTAACCTAAAGGTCATGTAATAGACTTGCCACCATATTGACTACACACATCACCTATAAAGATTATCTTCACATGTTAAAGAACCTGAGTAAAGTCTCCATTTTAGAAATGAAGTATTTGAGATCCAGAAAAATTAGATGGCTGGTCCTATCAGAGTAATATTAACCTCTTACTTTCCAGAGTAACATAGTACTATAGTATTCTGTTCTTCTAGCAAACAGTGGCTACAAAGTAGCTGTTTAATATAGTTTGACAGCTTTCTCAAATATGATAATCAATCCGTTCTACTAACCTGAGGTTTAATGGTCTAAATCAGTGAGGTTTGTTTTCTTAGCAGTAGAACCCTTCAGACAAAATCATATATAGCAATCTAATGTGGAAAGCCTGTAAAAATGGAACTCTCCCAAAATACAGTGTCTAGGGCAGGAACCACTTGCCCTGGCCTCTTTCTTTTCTCCACTGTCCCCACAACTGTTCCTGAGGTATTCGCAAGAAACAAAAATTTGAATTATTTCTGCCATACATTGAGGAACACTTTAAACTTTATGCTAACATGGTTTAAAATATATCAATGTGCATATTAAGGGCATAAGTTTCCAATTTCCCACCCTGAACTATAGATTTTTCAGTTGAATTTGCTTTATTAACTTCTTATTTATTTATTTATTTATTTATTTATTTTAAGATTTACTTATTGAATTCTGATCTCTCACACACACATACTGTCTTTCTTATGAAATTCAATGATGTTCATTCCTTGGGTGCTGATTTCTGACTCTAGCACATTTCCTGTTTTGGTTACTAAAACAATATTGTCATAAAACTCTCCTCTATGAACTATAAAAGAACCTCGACCTCTGGGTAATTTTAAAAAGTTTTAGGATTCAGTTTTATGAAATATTAATTTTGTTATGTATTTCGCTAAGGATTGTACTTTATATTTTTAGTTTTACGTAGGCCTTTTATCTTTTATTGCTTATCTTGCTTTAGATATCATCCCTGATCCTGACTTTTTGTTTAATTGACCACTTTATATATTGGCTTTTTCTAGTGTTGGTAAATTCATGTTAATACCCCATTTATCTCCACAGAGTACTTTTGATAAATTCAGCCACTAAAAGCATAGCAGTAAATTCTGACTCAGTGGGGAAAAATATTTAATAGTGGCTAGAAAAGTAGTAGCTATAAAACCATCTCAGAAGAACATACAACCAGTGACATTTGTAAACAGTTTAGGTTAAAAGAAGGCAGTTGGTGAAGAAACAGAAATGTAAGGGCAAATATTTTGCCATACATATCATGAGTTTGAGTACATAGTTAAATATTTGATATTCATTTTCATGACCTAGAGTTATCTGGAAATAAGTTTTGAGTTTATTCTTCAAAAGGCATAGATTAACAATTTCTAATAAGTTGAAGACCATGATAGAACAAATTCAACAATCATTGGATTGTGGCATGCAAGGCACAGCATTGTGTGTTTTAGTACTTTAAAAAATGAACCCTGTGTCCATCAACCAGCCTGTGTTAAAGTTCTAATCTAGATAGAGAAGGCATGGATACAGTTAATTGTAATACAACATAAAATATCAAAAGGAGGAGGAGATTACTTCCTGCTGAGGAATTGTGGAGCACATTGTACAGATACAATTTGAACTCTGTTGAAAAATGATTTAAGATTTAGGTAGGCATTTGAAAATTCAGAAATTTTTCCACCACTGTCTTCTATGTGCCAGCACTATTTTAGATTGTTGAGGGTATAAAAATAAGTAATGTGTAGTCCAGTCCTCTAAGAACTCAGTCTAGTAGGAACACCAGACAACTAAATAAAATAACTTGTAGTAGAGCATTGTCAAACAAAAAATATGTGGAAATTGTTATTAGAACACAGATAGGAATCATAGCATAGATAATGTTTGAGCTAGGTTTTGAAAACCTTGTAGGAATATACCAGTCAAAATGGACATACATATTAGAGGAAACAGCATATTTAAAATATATGTCAGTATAGGGATTCTTTTATTTTTTTATTTTTTGGTACAGGGATGAAACCCTGGGGTACTCAACCACTGAGCCACATCCCCAGCCCTTTTTTTGTGTTTTTTTTATTTAGAGACAGGATCTCACTGAGTTATTTAGGGCCTCCCTAAGTTGCTGGTGCTGCCTTTGAACGCACAATCCTCCTGTCTCAGCCTCCCAAGCTGCAGGGATTATAGGTGTGCACCACTCACTATGCCCAGCCAGTGTGAGTTTGTTGCGTAACTGCTAATATTGCAGTGTGACTTAAGCAACAAGATTTTGATTGGAGAAATGGCAAGAAATGAAGGTATATTAGTACTAGATTTTTAAGTGTGTTTTATTCTACCAAGGAGTTTTAACTCAAGTCTAAGAAATGGAAAACCAAACAAAATATGTGGCACTAGCATAAAAGATAGACATACAGACAAATGGAGTAGAACAGAGCTCAGAAATAAGCCTTCTATATTTATATACATGTAAGTATATATATATACACATATACACATACATATATATATGTGTGTGTGTGTGTGTATGTATGTATATAGTGAATTACCAAGACCATTCAGTGGGCAAAACTGGTTTTGGGAAAGGTGAATATCCACCTGTATAAAATGAAGTTGGACCATGACATATGTACAAAAATTAATTCTAATTAGATCTAAGATCTAAATATAAAGGTAAAATTTCTTCCTTTTTTCTTCCCAAAATTCATTCATTCATTCTTTTTTTCTTATTGTACCAGAGATTGAACTTAGGGGTGCTTAATCACTTAGCCACATCCCCAAACCTTTTTTTGAGATAGGATCTTGTTAAATTGCTTAGGGCTCACTAAGTTACTAAGGGTGACTTTGAACTTGTAATCCTCCTTCCTCAGGCTACTAAGCCACTGGGATTATAAGCATGTGCAACCATGCCTGGCTAAAGGTAAAATTCTTAGAGGAAAATATAGAGGGAAATCTTTATAACAGGATTTGGCAATGATTTCTTGGGTATGATGCCAAAATCATAAGCAACAAATGAAAAGGTAAATGTGACTTAGTCAAAATTAAAAACTCTTGTGGCTTAAAGGACACTATTATGAGAGTGAAAAGACAACCCATAGAATGGTAGGTAATGTTTGCAAATTATGTATTTGATAACTGATGAATACTAATGATATATAAAGAACTTATATGGTTCAACAAAAGAAAGATAATCTAATTTAAAAATGGGCAAAAGCTGGATGTGGTGGTACATACTTTTGGTTCTATTACTTGGAGACTGCAGCAAGAGGATCACTTGAGACTACCAGTCTGAGACCAGCCTGGGCAGTGTAGCAAGACTGCATTGTTAAAAAAAAAAAAAAAGAGAGAGAGAGAAAGGTCCTAAGGAAACATTTCTTCAAAGAAGATATACTAATGGCTAATAAGTGCATGAAGAGATGTTCAACATCTATAAGCATTTCCCTTAATGCAAATCAAAACTACAATGAGTCATGCAATGAGTTTTATGGCTACTAAGAACCAGAAAATTGTATGTGTTGTGAAGAATGGAACCTTTGTGCACTGTTGGTGGGAATGTAAAATGATGTGACCACTATGCAAGACAGTATTCATGGTTTCTGGAAAAATTAGAAGTTTTCAACAATTCTATTTCTGGATGTATATCCAAAAGAATTGAAAGCAAAATGTCGAAATAATATTTGTATATCCGTATTTAGAGGAGCATTATTCACAACAGACAAAAAGTGGAAACAGCCCAAATGTTCAACAGGTAAATAAACAAAACATTGTATACACATAAAATGTACTATTTAGCCAAAAGAATAAATGAAATTCTGATACATGCTATAACATGAATGGACCCTAAAAACATTTTGGTAAGTGAAAGAAGCCAGTCACAAATACAGGATTCTACTTAAATGAGTATCTTAATCCACTTTCTATTGTTATAGCTGAATAACAAGAGTAATTTAAAGGATTGAGGTTTATTCGACTTCTAGTTTTTAAGGTAGTAAAGTTCACAATTAGGTATCAGCATCCAGTGAAATCCTTGTTAGTGGGGACTATATACAGAACCTCAAATTGACAAAGGGCATCACATAGCAAAATTGATCTTCCTAACTCAGATCTTGTCTCTTATAAAGCCCCAGTCTCATTGATTTAGGGCCTGGATTAGGACCTCATTCAACTTAATTTCTAAAGATTCTTCCTCCAAATGCCAGTCAGAATAAATTTTCACCCTCTTAAATACCCCATAATGGGAATTAAATTTCAAGATGACTTTTAATGAGGGTGTTCAAATCACAATAGTGAAGCATCTAGAATTGCCAAATTCATATAGAGTAAAATAGAGGTTACTAGGGGCTGTGGTGATTGGGAAATAGGGTTATTATTTAATGAGTATCAACTTTCAGTTTGGGAAGATGAAAAAATTCTGGAATTGATAGTAGTGATGACTGTATAACATTGTGGTTGTACTTATTGTCTCTGAATTATACACAAAAAATGGTTGAAATCATAAAAAGAACCTCTGGCATTGCTACAGCCTCATATTTATGAAAATGAAGACAGTGTTGAACATATAAATTGTCATTTATATTTCTGCCTGGCCTTGCATGAATTTGAGTCAAATACCTGGAATATATAAGTTTAATAAAGTTTTTAATAAATTTTATTTATTAACTGATCATTTAAAGTGCATATTGTGGAAAATGGGTGATTTGATTTTTAATGAGCAGTGATTTATTTCTGATTAGTATTTAGTGTTTTTCTGTAACATTTGTGTATTTATACAATATATATTTTAATAATACTCTTAATATTATTCTACTTAGTATTTAATTCTACTTAATCTAGTGTTTTATTTCTGCCCCTAGAGGCAGGTGCTCTTCAATAATATTGACTTTGGTACATGTTTATAAATTTAGGCATTTAAGCATTTGTTTTCAAATATTTTAGTGGGGAAATTCAGTCTTATGCTGATGAGGGTAAATGTTTCCTCCACCTTATAAGTTTAAACCTTTGGGGATATAACTTCATGATTCAGAGTCATGCTGTATAATACAGTAACCATATATGTGTCTATTTAAATTCATTAAAATTAAATAAAATTTAAAATTCAGTGGCTTGGACATAATAACTATATTTCAAGTCCTTATGGCTACATGTGGCAACTTGTTACCATATTAGGTATGCAAAGAGCATTTCTCCATCATTACCGAAAGTTCTGCATGCCTGCTGCTTATATTGAATCAGAACACTTATATTCAAATTCTTTTATTTACTACTGGTGTGACCTCAAGCAAGTCACTTCAATTGTCTCCTGAAAAATGTGGATAATATTAATACTATGGGGTTGTTACATGGATTACATTGATTAGGGTAAAATACTTGCTGTTGTGCTTTTAGAACTCTCATTATATTTCCATAGAACTCCAGATTGAGGAAAATATAGACTTGAAAACACCATTTGCAAGATATTGTTACATCAATTGAAATTTTATATTGTGCCTAGTGTATGAAACAAGTATGGTTTTTATTACATAAAAATACTTTGTTTTCCTCTAGCGAGTTGAAGAATTTCTCAGCAAAGATATCAGTTATCTCATTTCAAATAAAAAGGAAGCAAAATTTGCACAAACATTGGGTCGAATTTCTCCTATACCAAGTCCAGAATCTACATATACTGCAGAAACCACTTCACCTCATCCCAGCCATGATGGAAGTTCATTTAAATCTCCAGATTCAGTAAGTCTCTTTAAATGATGGAAGTTCATTTAAATCTCCAGATAGATTAAGTCCTTTTAAGACTCTCAGGCTGTAGCCTGAACATCTCATGATTTTCAGTAGCATGCTGACAGCAGAGTTCACTTGGGTAGAAAAGTTATTGTGGCTTTCTAGTTAATAAGGTTGCTGTCTTTTAGAAAGGTGATTTTTTTTTTTCTTAATAGTATAGTGCAGTCATACCCTGTTGCCTAAAATGTGCCCTTGTACTTGAAGATGGGTTTTATTTTTTAGAGTAATTGACAATTAAAAAATAATAGCAGCTTATTCCTTTAAAGAAGAACTAGAAACCTTTTTTAATTTTAGACCAGGGGTAAGCAAACAGACCAAATTCAGCCTGCTGCCTGTTTTTTGTATAGCTTTGCAAACTAAGCATGGTTTTTAAATTTCCAAATGGTTGGTAGAAAAAAATGAAACAGTATTTTGTAACAAGTAGAAATTATATGAAATTCAGATTTCTTTGCTTGTAAAGTGTAATTAGAACATAGCAGTACCTGTTAGTGTAGGTATTACTTATGTTTGCTTTTTTCTTTAGGCAGAATTCAATCATAGTAATAGAGACCATATGACCTAGAGAGCCCTTTGCATAGAGAGGTTACCACCCCCATTATAAAATTATTGATATATCTAACACTTCATTAATAAGTTGGAAGATACAAGTAAGGACAAATTTATTTAATTGGTTGTGGGGAGGTAAGAGATTGAAAGAAAAAATTCATTTATTGAAAGAAAAACTTCATTTATTCTCAATTTTAGATTGAAATGAACTAAATTGTGATTTTTAAATATATTCCTTTGTTTACTATAGTTATTTGAGAAGCAGAAATGGGAAAACAGGTATAAAAAAAGAATTACAAGGGAAAATCACTTGAAAAAGAAACATATGGAAGGAAAAATAGTCAAAGAAGTGAAAAGAGATAAAGAAGGCTTATGCATTTTTTCAATTAATACTTTTTTGAAGCAAGGAGATAATACTAATGATTGATTCCCAATTAATTTTGCTCATCATATTTCAACTACTTTTCTTGGTATTTTATTTAAAAAGGAATATAACTTGTAAATATAGTATATAAAGTTTGTATTTTTTCTTAAATCTTCATTTTAATAAACTGCAGTGTAAACTAGGTAATTATAAGTATAAAACTTCAATGAAACCTATTTTTCTTATTGAATAGAATTTACTGCAGAACTGAACTCTTGGGTCTCATTTGGTTGAATTAAGTTGCTCCGCGAAAACAAAAAACAAGAAGAAACAAACTTTTTCTTTTTTTTTTTTTTTAATATTTTTAAAGTTTTTCTCAAAGGATCACTGTTACAACTCTTTATATGTTTGTGTATTTTGGACTTTATAGGTTTGTTTAAGCAGAGGAAAATTACTAGTTGAAAAAGCTATCAAGGATCATGTAAGTAGGAACTTTAATTTCACACTGTCCCCAACCATACAATATCATGTTCTGTAGGGATCTAAATTCATCCATTGACAGATTTTGCTTTTAGTTTTTTTTTTCCCCCCTGATATTTGAGCATCTTGTTTATAAAAGATGATATTCCGGGGTAGAATTGAGTGCTTTTCTTTTAATTAAAAAAAAAAAAAAATTACAGCTAAAAAAATTACAGTTAAAAAATTAACACTGTATTTTTTTACTAAAAATGCAACTGGATATTATAGATATCCTTGAAATCTTCCTTTCATTCATTTTTAATAGTAAAAGTGTAAGTTGCAGCATGTATCTCCTTTACAAAGAACAGAATTTGCTTTTCATGGAAAAACATCCCCATCTTGTGGTCTTTTAAATTATTGTTGGAAACTTTTGAAATTTTCCTTAAAGTATGCATTTAGTTTTTTCAAGAACATATTACTATATTAAACAGGATTGATTTTAGAAATACCAAAAGAAAAAAATGAGGTCTTCATTGCTATTATAATTCTATATGACCTGTTATGAATAAGTGACATTAAGCTTTTTTTAAGAAAGTAGCTCATTTTTAATAGCAATTTTCTAGAAAAATCATCAAACCTTATTTGTCTGTTTTTTAACAGGATTTCATTCCTTCAAATAGTATATTATCAAATGCCTTATCATGGGGAGTAAAAATTCTTCATATTGATGGTAAGAATTTTATAATTGACTTTTGACAATTTTGGGTATAGGACTTATGTCCATCCTTTGGTTCCTGGCTTTACCTAGTGAAAACTTTTATAATACTTATAATGGTAAATCCTTCATCTAAATTTACTACAACTCTAAGAAAATACTGATGTTTCACTCCAACTTGGAAATTATTAATCATAAGCCCTTTCTTTCTTTTAATAAAGACATTAGATACTACATTGAACAAAAGAAAAAAGAGTTGTATTTACTCAAGAAATCAAGTACTTCCATAAGAGATGTGGTATGTTGTCTTCTTTAATTGTTAAACTAGTTTTTAAAAGTGGTCAAGTTTTGTTTTTTGTTTCATTTTTAGTCTTTATGTATCTGTGAAATATTTCCTGCCAGGTTCAAAATATTGTCAGAATCTCAGGGGTGAGTTTGTGTATTGTATGCATGTTTCTGAATTTTTGTGTATGATTTAACTTTAGGATTGTACTCATGAGGAAAAGTTGCCCTTGGGATAGTGGAGTGACAAATGAGTTTTGGTTTTTATTTTTTACTTTCTTTTTGGTTGCTAGTAGGTTTTTGTTGTTGTTGTTTTTATACATACACATATAAGCATATGCATATCTCACACCCATACAGATATTATTATTTTTTTAGTTGTAGATGGAAACAACACCTTTATTTTATTTTTATGTGGTGCTAAGGATCGAACCCATGCCTCACATGTTCTAGGCAAGCACTCTACCACTGAGCTACATACAAGCCCAGCCACCTGCTATTGTTTTTTATAGGTACTTTTGTTTACTCTGTAAAATAAAACTAAAATAGTCTATTGCATAAGAAATTCCTAATATAAATAATGTATTATTTTTTAGAACCAAATAGTGAATATAGTATGATGATGGTGTAACAAAATCTTGTATGGCTATATAGTCTGACCTTAAAACGAATACAGTAAACCTTCCTTTGATCCCACATCCCTACCTACTATCCAATCTTTATATCACTCTTTTCATTCATGCTTCTTAAATCTCTAATATTTTCCATTCACTTTTCAACCTATAAGATATGAAACTCCTGACCAATTTGCTGAATCAATTTGATATTTTTTAAAACCAATCATATTGGTTTTCTTAACCATTGTCCATTCTGTCCTTGCACTTTTCTAATCTCTCCTGGAATATTTCATTTCGTAGCTGACTTTGGCTTTCCTCATATGTCCAGACCATTCTTTTGTGGTCTGCTTTGGTTTTCCTCATTCAGTCCTCAAGTAACTAGGATCCAGACGAAAATAAATTTCATAGGAAAGAGTGTATAAAAACATGAAAACACAAATAAGTAATTTGGCATGTTTGGGCAATTTCTTATTAGTATAATACAGCTTGATAATTGAGTGGGATATCACTTTGTACAACGCCAGTAATACTAAAAGGTCTCTCTTGATTTTACCTCAACTTATCCCTGACGTTCTGTTTTGTATTTCCTCAATCTTTTTTTTTTTTTTCTTTCTGTTTTTCATTTGGAGATAGCTGTTCACTTATCTTTGAGTTTACTGACACTTCATTCTGTCATCTACATTCTATTAAGGCCATCCAATGAATTTTATATCTCCTATAATGTATTTTTCAGTCCAACAATTTCTGGTGAATTCTTTTTTCTACTGATAACTTATACTTTTGTTTCATTTTAAATGTGTTTACCTTCACAGTAATTGTGACATTAGAAATATTTTGGTCTTAGAATCTGATTATTGTTTATCTTCAATAATTGGTCATTTTTTCCTGTTTTTTTTTTTAATAAGCCAGATAAGTTTGCATTTTATATATAGGATACTGTAAATGTTATGTTGTGTAGGCCTCAGATCTATTATAATAGTCTAGAGACTGTTGATTTTGTTTTTGCGATTGTTTTAGCAGGCAGTCATCCCAGTTTTGTTCAGCCTCTCAGTTCTGTCTTAATTTTTGTGGGTGGTTGTTCTAATTTGTTTCAGTTTTCAAAAACAAGTGCTATTGCTTCTTTTACTATATTTTTAAACACATTATTTTCACAATTTTTTTAAGGGAAAAAGAGTTGGTATTGGAACACAAAAAACAAGAAGTAAGTATTTTGATACCCATAAATATATATGGTTTATACCTATAAAATAGAATAAATCACATAAAGATAGTCTAATATCATGTAAATAGCTCTTTAAATTGTTTTGTTTTTAGGGGATTCCTGGTTATTTTTAGAACATGTACTCCCTATGACAGTCTGATGAAGCCTATGGAGCCCCCTCCCTTGAATGATATTTCTTAAAACACTTTTTTTTTTATCATTACATTATTAAAAAATCAATTATGTTGACATTGATTTATGAAAGTTATTTTAATTATGAAGTAGTGCTATACTTGCTTTTTATTGCATATTGAAAACAAGGTTCTATCAGTTATTCTGATTGCTAATGTAATTTTTAAAGTGATAAGCATAAACAATGTTTTGATATATCTATAACAACCAGTATACTGTGAAAATACATGCTATTCCATTGGTAGCAAAGTTATAGTAGTGTCAGTGCTACTGTGATCTGTTACTTACATTTATAATTGGAGGAAATGTTAAGTATCAACTAGAGGGTAGTGAAAATAAAAATGTAACTTTTCTATGTCAATTCACATTCCTCCTATATTCTATTCATAGACCCTTTGGGAATTCCATTTAGTTTGAGAATCTCAGAATATGGCCAAACCTTCTGAGATTTTTGAAAATGGAGTGATATTGGAATGGCCTTCTCCTTAGGATTAAATCTTTGAAATGAATAGGTTATTTCTGGTTTCAGGGGGGTTTTGTCAAAGTGGTTTTATTTGAGTGGGGATCCTGGATTTGCAGCTCCATAATATTATGTTTTCTATGTTCTTAAGCAGGAAGACTCAAAAAGCCTTTTGTAAAGGTAGAAGATATGAGCCAGTAAGTATCTTAAGTGTGATAAATATGACTTAGATGCAGTTTTAAAGGAGAAAATCTCTCTAAATTAATGAAGCTATTTCCATTAATACTGTTAGTTCCTTTATATTACATAAGTGTGCATGTGTCATTAATTCATTTGCGCTTAAGGACTGGATTTAATTTCAGTATATTGTAGATGTCTTTGAAGTATCTGGTTTAGAGCAATCATGAGTCCAGCTCGTTTTTTAGCATTTCAAATAATTGTTCTCTACAGTACCATATGATTTAGAACTACAACTTAAAGATCACTCTTACATTTGTGAAAATAGGTATTAGATGCTATTTGGAAATATAAAATTGAAATATAACATCTAGTATGGAAGCTTTCCTACACTTTGAAGTTTTATAGAATAATTTTGGTGAAAACTATACATATAAATAAAGTAATTTGGAATAGAAGAATTAGATTTCTTTCTTTTCAGTTATTTATTTAAACATGTATAGTTCTTTTGGGTGCTCACTGAGGTTACAAACGTGTTGAAACTTCTTTTGATGAAATGTGTTACTGTGAAGAAAAAGTGCAATTCAGAGTTAGGCCTATAGAAAACACCAATAAATGGAAAGATCGCCACATTTATGGATTAGAAGACTTAATATTGTTAAGATATTGATTAACACTACCAATGCATTCTATAGATTCAGTGTCATTCTTGTCAAAAATCCTAATGATGTATTTTTTTTATTGTTTTGTAGAAGTAGAAAAACCCATTCAAAAATTTAGTTGAACTCTCAAGAATCCCCATATATCTAAAACAGTCTTGAAAAAAGAACAAAGTGAAATTTCTCACACTTCGTGATTTCAAAATTTATTACATAACTACAGTAATCAAAAAGTTTGGTACTGGCATAAGCTCAGCCATATAGGTAGTTTACAGAGCCAGGAAAAAACCCATCACACATGATCAAATCATTTTTGCCATAAGGAGGGCATTGAATGGAAAAGAACCATAACAAAAACTGGGGGGGAAAACTAGATATCAACATGCAAAAGAATGAAGTTGAACTCTTATAAGACCTAAAACTATAAAGCTCTTAGAATAAAACACAGGATAAACATTTCATGACATTGGATTTGTTGATGGTTTTTTTAGATATGATATTTAAAAGCACAAGCAGCAAATAAAATAAAAATAATTGAAATGTATCAATTGTAAATTCTGCACATCAAATGACAACAGTTAAAAGCTAACCTAAAGAATGGGAGAAGGTAATTGCAAATCATATATCTTATGAGGGGTTTATATCCAGAATATATAAAGAACTACAATTAAAAGAAAAACATTACTCAACAAACAAAACCCCAGATATAACCTGATTAAGGAATATACAAAGCACACTTTCTCAGTGATGTATGCATGGCCAACCAACAAATGAAAAGATATTCAAAATCACTAATAGATAAATGCAAATCTAAATCAAACAATACCACTTCATATCAATTAGGATATCCACTTTTTTTAATTTAAAAAATAAAATAAAGGTAAACGTTACTCAAATCCATCAGCAAATGAACAAAGAAAACAAGATGTGGGAGATATATACATATGTATACACAAAACGGTATAGTAAGTCATAATAAAAAATGACATGGATGAAGCTTGAGGACATTATTCTAAGTGAAAGGAGGTAAGACATTAAAATTGGTTTCATTTAATGTAGATTCAACCTACAAATTGGTTCTATTTAATCACAGAAGCCTATTTGTTTTTTCTTTTAGACTTTATAGGCCATTTTATCTTCAGATGACAAATATACCTTTTATAAACTACTCGATTCAGAAGCCCTGCAGTCCATATGATGTAGATAAGCCATCTAGTATCCAAAAGCAAACTCAGGTTAAACTAAGGTTGGTTTGAATCATTACCTTTACAAGGAATATTCTTAAAGGTTATCATCTCAAGAAATTATTTCTTTATAAGCAAATATTTGAAATGGTTCATTTTATTTCATGATAGGGATGATGTTTCTGTTTCTAATCACTATTCTGCTTACTTTTCATTCCTTGTATATTTGTAATGACCCTATGCTTGAAGTTTGAATCTATTTTAAGTGCATCATGTTTAGACTTTAGTTTGCAGAGGAGGGAGATGGAGAGGAAATGTTTGCAAATAATGCAAATGGGTATTTTTCTTTCAAGAACCATCTGAAGTATGCTCCAGAATATTTAGTACATTCTTATTTTGCTTTTAAATTTCTTTTAAAAATATATGGGCCAGATGTGGTGGCACAGGCCTGTAATTCCAGCAACTTGGGAGGCTGAGTCAGGAGGATTGCAAGTTCAAAGGCAGCCTTAGCAACTTAGCAAAACCCTGTCTCAATAAATAAAAAGGGTTGAGGATGTGGCTCAGTGGTTTTAAGACCTCTGGCTTAAGTCCTCAGTTAACCTCTCCCCACCAAAAAAAATTTGCCAGGCACAGTGGCACAGTCCTGTAATCCCAGTGACTCAGGAGACTGAGACAGTAGGATCACACATTTGGGGCCAGCCTGGACAACTTAGAAGCAATGTCCTGTCTCAAAACAAAAGGGTTATAAATGTAGCTAAATATAGTGTCCCTGGGTTCAATCCTTAACACCCCCCAGGAGAAAGAAATAAATGTGGGTAAAAGTACTTGCTAGTAATTCAGTTCTGTGCAAATTATGTAGATCCTGTGTAGGACAGTAAATTTTGAAAATTATTCTTTAGATTTAGCAGGGTTTTTTTTTAACCATTTCTATCTATCTCCAGAATTCAAACGGATGGCGATAAATATGGTGAGACCCCAATCCAACTCCAGTTGAAAGAGAAGAAAAAAAAAGGATATTGTGAATGTTGCTTACAGAAATATGAAGATCTCGAAACAGTAAATGTGATTTTATATTTAGGGGATTAATGTTTCAGAAACTCTGAAGAATATTTGTAATTTAAATTTTAACAACTTCTGATTGTGGTTTACAACTTGATAATTACAAATAGGTTTTTTTTTTTGTAGGTGAACACAGTACCTTTATTTATTTATTTTTATGTGGTGCTGAGGATCGAACCCAGGGCCTCACATGTGCTAGGCAAGCGCTGTACTGCTGAGCCACAATCCCAGTTCCTACAAATAGTTTATATTTCTTTTTTTTTGATAGAAATATCTTAAATTTTGAGAACCCAAAATAATTTGAAAATATTTGAAAAATAATCAAGTATATGTAGAGAATGTCATATCATTGCTTTGGAAAAACTAAACCAAACCAAAAAAATAAAGATGTTGTTAGTAATTTAAACCAGCCAAGGAATATTTAACTGATAGAATAGAGAATTATTATGTAATAAGACTTGTGTATATTGAAATAAGCAAGAGGAATAGTCTCAAACTGATTGAGTCAATGAAATAACACATCATGGTGGCCTGGACTAAGCGTGGTAAAAGAAGTGCTTGAGACATGCTCAAGATTATGGGTATATTTTAAAGTTGGGGCTGAAGAGGATTTGCTGATGGGAGTAGCTATTGGCAGTGAGAGGAAATGATGAATCACACATAAAGTAATCTGGGCCTGAAATTTTTTGCTTCTTATTTACTATTGGGAAGAAAAGAGTTGAAAACAAGTGGAGAATTCTTGAGGTAGCAGGAAGATCAAATAGAATAGTTGGCAGGGCATACCAGATAGAGTTTTAAAGATGGGGGTCTACTAGTTTAAATATTTTTAGTTATAGACGGACACAATAAATTTATTTATTTTTATGTGGTGCTCAATACCAAAGAAAAGGAACAGGAGCTTTGGACCTAGGTTCATTAGATTTGAATCCTGGCTTCTTGTCTTGTGTGTCCTTAGACAGAGCCTGACACATAGTAAATGCTTATTAATGTTATTATTTGAATGGTTAGTTTTTATTTGAATGGTTTATTTTTAAGATAGTAAATAGAAAGCCAGGTGTGGTGGCTCACCCTTGTAGTCCCAACTATTTCAGAGGATCAGTTAAGTGCACAAATTCAAGACCAGCCTGGGCAAGATACTATCTTTTTTTTGTTTGTTTGTTTTATTTTTTAAATAACATGACAGAGGAATGCATCACAATTCTTATTACACATATTGAACAATTTTTTATACCTCTGTTTGTATATAAAGTATGTTTACACCAATTCATGTCTTCGCACATGTACTTTGGATAATGACATCTATCACATTCCACCATCCTTGCTAATCCCTGCCCCCTCCTTTTCCCTCCCACCCCTCTTCCCTATCTAGAATTCATCTATTCCTCCCATGCTCCCCCTCCCTACCTCAAGATGAGTCAGAGAAAACATTCGGCAGTTTTGGGGCGGGTGGGGGATTGGCTAACTTCACTTAGCATTATCTTCTCCAGTGCCATTCATTTACCTGAAAATGCCATGAAGAAACTACCTTAACAAAAATAGATAGCTATGATAACTTGGTTTGGTCTGGTTTGGATTAAAGATGTTGGGAAAGCTAAAGAAAAAGAATAAATTTTTAAAATATCTGATTCATAAAGTATCTGTCTTCATACTCTTAAGTTGGAGTTTTACAACCCTAAATGATATTAGTATGTATATATGTGTTTTATTTATATAATAAAGGGGAAATATGGTTTAAAATTGCATTTAATCAGAAGCTAAAATGTTTCAAATATTTTCCTTTCCCTCAAATCATTTTGAAATTACACATTTGTCCCAAGATTTACTTCACTGTTATAATGATAGAATAATCTAGAATGGCTTCTTTTCGTGATATTATTATGTGATTCTCAGAAAATGTTAATTCTGCAAAAAAGTTGTTCAGTGGTTGTCACAAAAAAGGAAAATTAGTGAAAGTTGATGTTGGGAATGGAATTCATTTAAGATTGTGTCTTTGAGTTTTTCATTTGTATGTTTTTTTAGTCATTAAGAATAAAGAAGGGGGGCTGGGGCTGTAGCTAACTCAGCCTCACATGTATGAGGCACTGGGTTCGATCCTCAGCACCACATAAAAATAAAAAAAAATAAAGGCATTCTGTTCGTTTACAACTACAAAAAAAAAAAAAATTAAAGAAAAAGAATAAAGAAGAGGCTGGGGTTGTGGCTCAGTGGCAGAGAACCTGCCTCACACATGTGAGGCACTGGGTTCGATCCTCAACACCACATAAAAATAACAGAATAAAGATATTGCATCCATCTATAATTAAAAAATATTTTAAAAAAAGAATAAAGAAAATATTCTTTTGTTTTAAATCTTAGGTTTCATAATGACCGAGTTCTACTGTGCCAATCCGTTTAACAAATATTTTTGAATCAATAAAAAGACCTTCCTTGTACATATTATGGTCAGACAAGAAGATAAATACAAAACATATATTTGCAAACATGATGAATGTCACAAAAGTGAAGTATAGAGTGCAATGGTAGTAAACAGTGCAGCTAGGGGTGAGGGGTGTAGGTTAGTGGTAGAGGGTGTGCTTAGCACACACGAGACTCTGGCTTCAATCTCCAGCAAGCACCCAAAAAATAAAAAGTAAAAATAAATACTGAGGTTAGTTAACCAAAAGTACTACAGAGAAGCCCAACAGGGAAAGCTATATTAAATCAAGACCTAAAGAATGAGTAAGAGCAACTAGGTAGAAGTAGAAGGAAACTACATAAAAATTTAATATTGCTTTACTTAATTTGCTTAGGTGGTTAAGGGATTTTTTTTCCTTCTAGAATATACACTGAGTCTGACTTTATATATTTTACCTTTATTTTAAAATTTTAATCATTTCTCTCTTTTCTTATATTATTGGCCATATATAATTTGTATGTGGAAAATATTTCAAGTAAGAAAGAATACACATGTATTCTATGCATGATTTTGTGACCTGTGAGAATTTGGTTTTTGGCAATGTAATCAAATCATCAAAAGTTAAAATTTTGTAATGGTGCTTTTAAATAACAGTGTCCTAATTAACTGACAGTTGATAGAATTAGCCTGGAAGTCCCACTCAGAAGGAACTTTGTTTCCTGTGAGTTTCATCCTAATATTCTATGAACTTCTTTTGTTGTTAACTTTTAAGATTGAGAATAACTTCTTACCCTATATTAAGAGTACTGGGTGATGGACATAATTTTGTTTGATCATTCTTGAATGTTTTCTTTGGTTACAGGTCTTTACTTTTTAATAACTTCACAGCATTTAATGTGGTTTATTTATTTAGTCTTATTGTACATATTACATGTAATATTCCATAAACCCTACATTACTCACTTAGATGGGGAAAGGTGTCTTACAAAGATATTAGTACACAGTGAATGTTAAATGTTACTGTTTTTCTTCCCTTTCATTCTTTTTCTGATAATGTTTCTTTTCACTTCTGTTGTAATCACAAATTAGTATTTGTCACAGACAAAAACAAAAATTTTAATGGATTCTAAGAAGTAATTTGTTTTATTTCTTGACATACTTTTAAGTCTAGTAAGAGGTTTTGAAGTAGTTAATATAAACCTAACTTTACAGACATAAAAATGTTAGAAATTCTGAACAAAAAAGCATATGTTGGTTTAAAAATATAATTTTTGTGATATATTTGTTTGTTTGTTTTTAGCACCTTCTTAGTGAGCAACACAGAAACTTTGCACAGAGTAACCAGTATCAAGTTGTTGATGATATTGTATCTAAGTTAGTTTTTGATTTTGTGGAATATGAAAGAGACACACCTAAAAAGAAAAGGTAATTTATCAAAATTTTATAATAATTCTAGATTATTAGACTATTTTATTACACTAAAAATCAAAGTTTACTTGTTCACAGAAAGGATATGTATTTTCAGGATATAAGTATGGTTAAAGACTAATAACTTCTTCCTCTACTTCCTACTTTAGTTTTAGTCTCCTTGACATGGTTTAGAAAAGCAGCTGACAAACTTTTTCTGTAAGAGCCAGATAGTTTATATTTTATATTTTTTAAACTGTAAGATCTTTGTTACATCTGTACAGCTTTGCTATTATACAACAAATATGGCTATTTTGCAACAAAGCTTTACTCACAAAAATAGACTGAAGGCTAGATTTTGCCCAGACTCTATAATTTGTCAATCTGTGGTCTTAGAATCATAAAGTTTACCATCTACTTAGACTAAAAAGGCTTTGAACTTTTAGTTAATCTTATGGAGTTTTGAGAAACCTGTCTACTTGCCTCTATTAAGGCTTATCAATACTATCATAAATATTTTTGCTTAAATTCTATTGCTTATAATGAGTTTTAACTATGAATACAGTCCAGTTCAATATACAGTGACAGCACATTGACAAAAAGTGGTCCTGATTAGATTTTTCCCATTAATCTAAATTTTAAAAAATGCTTTCATATGGATATACTATAGAGTTGGTGGTAACTCAAAGTTTATTCAGTGTATTTATATATGTACTGTTATTTACTTAAATATTTTTTGAGATGTTGATGGACCTTTATTCATTTATTTACATGCGGTGCTGAGAATCAAACACTGTCCCTCACACATGCTAGGCAAGTGCTCTACTGCTGAGCCACAACCACCGATAATTCTTTTGACTCTAGGTAAAACATTTTGGGGGGGTTTGTTTGTTGACTTTTTTTTTTTTTTTTTTTTGGTACTGGGGATTGAACTCAGGCATTCAACCACTGGGCCACATCCCCAGACCTATTTCACATTTTATTTGGAGACAGGGTCTCACTGAGTTGCTTAACACCTCACCATTGCTGAGGCTGGCTTTGAATTCGCGATCTTCCTATCTCAGCCTCCCAAGCTGTGTGCCACTGTGTCTGGCTGGTAAAACAGTTCTTAAATCTCATATTTCTGTAATGTTCAGAATGGTTCATGACTGAATCACTAATACGGCATTTGCAGGCTTATTTCCAACTATTAAAACTGTAGGGCTCCTGTAAGAGCTTTCAATTCCCTAAAACCTCATTCTGCAGCAAAATTCACAAAATTCTGAACTACTTGTTGGTGTTATGAGCTGGATACCCCATAAGTAAGTTACTTCCCTGCTTTTTTTTTTTTTTTTTTTTAAGTGGGGGGATTGAACCCAGGAGCATTTCTACCTCTGAGCTACATTCCTGGGCATTTTAATTTTTTTATGTCAAAACAGGGTCTCACTGAGTTGCCTAGCTGGGCCTTGCACTAAGTAATACTTATGTTTCAGCCTTCCACATTACTGCAATTATAGGTGTGTGCCACTGCACCTGGCGATCTGGGCCATTTTTACTTGTGGGGCCAGTCTTCTAAACATTGGCTCCCTCTTTTTAAGCATATTGGACTAGTATTTCTGTTTTTCATCATCCTTTTTATAAAACTTTTTTTCTTTTTTTCCCTTGTGCCAGGACTCCAACCCAGGACCTTATGCATGATGGGCACAAAGGAAATCTTAAGTAAAAGTATAAACAAAAATAGACATAATTTAGTATTGTCTAATACAAACCAGGATCCCAAGAATATGAAGATGCTCCATGAAGAAAAGGGTTTCAGGTCTTAGAACCATAAAGTTTACCATCTACTTAGACTAAAAAGGCTTAAAACTTTGTTTGAAATTTAAGGTTTACCAATAAGTATAAATATATTTAAGTTTCTAGCTCACATTGGTCATTTCTAAGAAAAATGAGGAGTGAAATGTGCACGAATATAAATTATAGCAGGGCACAGTGGTGCGCACTTTTAATTTCATCTGCTCAGGAGGCTGAGGCAGGAGGATCGCAAGTTTGAGGCTAGCCTTAGCAACTTAGTGAGGCCCTAAGAAATTTAGTGAGACCCTGTCTGAAAGTAAAAAGAATTAAAAGGATTGGGGATATGCTTAATGGTGAAGCACCCCTAGATTGAATCCCTGGTACAAGGAAGCTGGGGTGGAATTTATACACACAAACACATCAAAGCACAGAAATTATGAAATTTTCAGTATAATAAAAATTAGGATCCGACCCAGATCTCTTACTGTCATCTTTGGTTTACATGATTAAAGTAGTTTTAAACACCAAGTTCAAAGTTTTGGTTATCCCTGGGAAGGAGGAAGAATGTGGATGAAAAACTTTAAAAGATAACTTTTTGGGACTGGGGTTGTGGCTCAGCGGCAGAGTGCTCGCCTCGCATGTGCAAGACCCTGGGTTTGATCCTCAGCACCACATAAAAATAAACAAATAAGTTATTGTGTCCAACTACAACTAAAAAATAAATTTTTTTAAAAAAGATAACTTATGCTAATTTGATTTCTAACTAAGGAATTTGTTTTCATAGCAATTAATTTTTTTTTCTTTTCTAATTTTTTCCTTATAAAGAATAAAATACAGTGTTGGATCCCTTTCTCCTGTTTCTGTAAATGTCCTGAAAAAGTCTGAACCAAAAGAAAAGCTTGAATTGCAACATATTTCTCAGACAGACTTCAGGGAAAATTGTGCACAGGTGATCAAGCAGAATTTCCTGTATGAAGAAACCCAGGAACCTGAACAAAAGCTTGAGTTTATTTCAGAATCCATCCCTTGCCTGTCACAAGAATTGAGAGGACTTAATGAGAAAATGATGGATGAATGTTCCATGTTAAGTGCAGCTGAGAATGACATACAGCAGAATTTTGCACAGCTACCTCCACATAAAAATAATCAGGAATGTATTCTTGACATTTCTGAACATAAATTAATTATAAATGAAAATAACTTAGAAGAACTAAGGGTAGATCACTGTCCATTTAAGCTACAAGCATCTATAAAAGTTTCTCATTTCAATACAGATAATAGTGCATCACAACCAAAACAAAAGTCAGATACTGCACTTTTTCTATCAAAAGACATAAGGGAAAAGGACCTTCATTCAGTGTTTGGTGATGCTCCTGGTCTGATAACAATAAATTCAAAAGAACACCTGACAATAAAGACAAAAACATCGAATAGTCCTCCTGAAGAACTCAATGAATGTGATGTCAAGAATATGGATAATGTACCGTCTAGTAAAATCCATCGAAAAGTAAGAATATTATTAGGACGAAATAAAAAAGAAAATCTGGAACCAAATGCTGAATTAGATAAGAAAAGAACTGAATTTCTTATTACACAAGAAGAAAACAGAACTTATAGTTCACCAGTACAATCTCTAATGGACTTATTTCAGACAAGTGAAGAGAAATCAGAGTTTTTAGGTTTCACTAGCTATACTGAAAATAGTGGTATATGCAATGTTTTAGATGTTTGGGAAGAGGAAGGTTCAAATAGTGTGTTAACGTTTTTCTCTTCTTCAACTTCTACATTTACTGGCTTTTAGTCTTTAAAAATGTATACTTTTTATAAAGTGATAAGGATCATATTCTTGAAATTTTTACAAATATAATTCTTAGGGTTTTTTTTGCCAACTTTGTTTACAGAGCCAAATGTAAATTTTAATACAGATGATGTTTGTGATTTTTTTACAAAATTGAATACCTGTTATAAAAAATTATAAAATAAATTTGACTCATTTTACATACTATTTTCATAGTTCTTTCCTGAGAGTTAAAATGAATATTATTTGGGGGCTGGGGTTGTGGCTCAGTGGTAGAGCGCTTGCCTAGCATGCATGAGGCACTGAGTTTGAACCTCAGCACCATATGAAATATAAATGTATTGTGTCCCATCTACAACTAGAAAATTTCTTTTTAAAAAATGGATATTGTTTGTTTGGTCACTGCTTTGGGTGAAGTTTTGAGAATATCAAAAAATTAAGCATTATAAATTTGGATAATCTAGTTATATCTTTTGTCTATTAAAATAGATTCTTGGGCTATAGATGTATCTCGGTAGTAGAACACTTTCCTACATGCACAAGGTGTTGGGTTCAAACACACACACACACACAGGCATAGACTCCCTTGATAATGTGAAATTATTGCCTTTAAAAACAATATTTATATGGAAAGGGAAAAATACTAATTTCTATGTATAAATTCTGGAGTTATTAGAAACATTGGAACTTTATTGTGACCTGGTTGGATCATGCTTGTACTTTGGCATGAATTAGATTTTTGTAGGGTAAGAAGTAATGAAGGAGCCTCTTGTAGTGGTATATGCCTGTAATCTGAGCTACACTGGAGGCTAAGGCAGGTGGATTGCAAGTTCAAGGCCTGCCTGTGCAACTTAGTGAGACCCCACCTCAAGATTAAAAAAAAAAAATCTGGGAATATAAGTGGTAAAGTATCCCTGAGTTCAATCCCTGCTGCTACAAAAAAAAAAAAAAAGTCAAAAGTTTTTAAAAAGTTAACAATGCTATCACATGGAATAGAATTATGAAAGGAAAATGGCATTGAACTATAGATTAATGCTTTGAAATACATGTGAGGATTGCCTTGATCTTGTCAATAAAGTAATTTGGAAAATAGAAAATTCAAGTGTAAGAAGAATTTTGACTTCATAGATAATACTTTTTGCCTTTTGATATATTTTTATAGGAGTGAGGCATTTACAACCAATGACATCTTTTTCACAGTAAAATATTTGTTGTCAGGCGTAGTGCTACACACCTATAATCCAGGTTTAAGCCCAGCTTGAGCAACTTAGACCATGTTTCATGTTCAAAAAGAGAAAGGAGGTGCTAGGATTGTGGCTCAATGTTAGAGCGTTTGCCTAGCATGTGCGAGGCTCTGGGTTCACCACATAAAAATAAAAGGTATTGTGTTCAACTACAAGTGAAAACTATTAAAAATAAAAAGGGATAGGAAATGCAGTGGTGCAGTGTCCCTGATTCAATCCCTAGTACTGAGGGTTGGGGGGAAAGTACCATTAAATTTATTACAAGTAACTAAAAATTAAACTTGGTTAATAGTGTTAATCAATTTGGTAATAGGAGATGAAAGGAAAAATGGCATTGAACTATAGATTAACACTAACCTTTTATGATTCCAAATATAGGATTAGTTCATATGATTTCTGGTATAAAAGTACTTAGACAAGATCAAAGAGAAAATAATGACTTTCCAACAGCTTTATTATTTATACCATTGTAAGTTACTATTGTAGCATTTTCTGTAACAAATGCATGTGTATATGTGAATCTCAAATTTTGTATACAGCCTTATAAAATCTTGGAAACTTAGAAAATTGCAGGTTTATCTGTCCTTCAGTTAACTTGTATTTTTCAAATTTTCCCAAATAATTAGGAGATATATATTTTGCCTTATGATACTTTGGTATTAGAGTAATGGTCTCATCAGTTTTCAGTGGTGGTGTTTGCCTCACAATTGGTCAGTACAATTTTGCCTCAGTTGTATTTAGTAAGAAGAAAAAGACTCAAGCTGAAACGAACCCTCTATTACATTTTATTTTGACATTATTTTTTAACTACTATTTTGAACATCAGACCTTTAGAACACCCCTAAAATCTTAAACAAAAAAACGTTTAAATTTCAGTTCCCTTGGAATAGTGCTATACTATTAGTGCTATACTAATAGTGCTATACGTTGTAAGAGGGCTCTCACATAAAGTTTGTATGGGTTGAGCTGTGCAGACAGGCATCTAGCCAGGGAGATAACTTCCGGTAGAAAACCAGCCTGCATTTGCAACAAGTATGTGCACTGACAAGAAGGGCGCAATTCCATAGCATGCTCACAAAAGGACATTTAATGTAGCAAGGCACTTTCACAGTAGGATTCTTCAAAGATCCCTCAGCAAAGTAGATAAGCAGTTCTTGGTTTGAAAGTCATATACTGCTGGGCACAGGAGGCATGGGATCCTCCCAGCAGCACGGGAAGCTGAGGCAGGAGGATCGTCAGTTCAAGCCAGCTTCAGCAACTTAGTGAGATTCTGTCTCAATAAGTTAAAAAAGGACTGGGGGTGTGGCTCAGTGGTTAAGCACCCCAGGTTCAATCCCTGGTACAAGAAAGAGAAGGGGGCTGTGTGAGTGTTGGATGGTGGGGGGGACCCATGCTTTGCCAAAAATTTCCAGACAAGTAAGAATTCCCTGGTAAGCATGTAAGTAGAATTCTGCTATCAAGAGCACTACAGTTGAAAAATGTTGGGGGATGTGGGGGAAGACACCTTAAATAATGATCAGCTAAGGATGACTAGTATTAGCGTTCAAAGTTAGCTCCATATTACCTAGAAGTAGAAATAGCAGTGAAGACAATGTGGTTTTGTGACTCAAAAATGAATGCTAATTTTCCCAAGATGACAAATGAAATTGTAGCAAAAGGTATATTTTATGCATCATATAATTTTTGTGTATTACTAGATGAATTTTATGTTTGAACACTGTTGCTAATCTAAAGGATATATTAAAATACTTGAAAGTGAATAAATGTTATAAATTTAAATATCATAAATTTCTATAAATGTAATATTGATTGTGAAACCAAAGAAAATTTTGTTACACTTTTCAGAAATCATTCCAATGTTGTTTAATTAATAAAGTGAGATGTAAGAATAATGGACCTCTTCCTATAGATGGAAGAGTTTTTAAGCACAATAAATGCAAATTAAACCTTTGCTGAGCTAGCTGAATCTTAAAACCATGAGGCTGCCAGGTTAAAAACAAAGAAGTCTAAAACAATGCCCTTCACAGTATAGGCTGCTCAAGATATAATTGGGCCCAAATTACCTTTTATCTAAGAGCTACTGTGGACATGCCTGTTTTAAGTCTGTACTATTACAAATAAAATGCTTAAGACAAGTGCTGTGATTACATTACATGTCATGGGTAGGGTGGGGCAAAAGCTGGGGAAGATTGACATACTGCAAAGAAAAGTCAAAAGAAAGGTCAAGCAGTTCAGCATTTCAGTTGCATTAGATATAGGGCTGTTTAATGGTATCATACAAGAAGTAGTACAACATCATGCTTCCACAAATTCCAATCAAGAAATTACCCTTTCTAGCCAGATGTGGTGGGCTCACATCTGTAAACCCAGTAATTTGGGAGGCTGAGGCCAGTCTTAGCAATTTAGCCAGACCCTGTCCAAAAAAAAAATGGTAAAGCGATCCCCAGTACCAAGGAAAACAAAAACAAAAAAGAAAGAGATTACCCTTTCTGTATCCAGAGACAGCAATATACCCACATGGTCATCTATTCACACTGATGATTATGTACAACTTAGATTTAAAAGAACAATTTAAGGTCTTTGCAAATAAGCTCCTTACCATTAATTAGCAGTCTTAATTATGTCAGCAATATTTGAGGGAAGTAACCTCCTTAAAATCCTATACAAAAAATAAAAAAAATTAGGAAGAGCTCAGAGCAATTAAGAGGCAAAAATAATTTATCAGTAAAAAAGTAACACTCAATGCAAGAAATAGATGTGAAAAATTTAAGCACTGTAAAAAAAAATAGCAGGTAACGAAAAAGTAAGACTTGAAAATTCCATATACAAGATTGAGGGTTCATACAGTGACATGTATCATTGTCAGTAATAAACTCATGTAACAATGGAAACAAATATACACTTTGAGAATGATCTCACTATATTACAACCATTTCAAAAGGAGTTATTCACTTATTTTTAATGAATATCTTTAAGCTGAGTAGTTTGGTGTTTTACCCCCAAAATTTTTTTGAGGCTCCCAAAGACCACATTAGGTACCTCTAATATCAGCCCATAAAATATTTACCTGGTCTTAGTATTTTCATAGAGAATAAAACTATAAATTGTCAATAACCCACAAACCCCCATTATTTCCTTGAGGGAATTTACAAATCTGTAAATTCTTGTAATGGTAACTCATTACAGGGTGAATTCCCTGGGGAAGTACACTCTCAGGTGCAGAGTGATATCCCTGATGTTTTCTAAATTTTGCCAGGTGCTGTTTTCTAAGGCCAGGTGCTTCAACTTTCATATATATATATATATTCCCCCCCGCCCCCAGAGAGTACCTAACATCTCCACTGAAGTTGGCTTGGCTTTATTGTAAAACCCTAAGGGCCTGGACTGTGATTTCCTTATTGTAGCTTGCCATAAGCTCCTCACAACATGTTTTTATCTACCACTGAACATCTAGAATGTTTAAACCTGCCTAGTTATATGACTGTAGAGCCCATTCTTGCTTGGGGCCTTCACTCACAGCTGGAAGTCTTTCTTACAAAAGATTCCAAGCAGTATTCCCAGGTGGAATTTACTGCCTCCAGAACCTGAAGAGGACCATCAGGCTTTATACTTCTTTATGTTTGGAAGGTTCAGCATACAATAATTTGTCTTTTCCTTTGGATGGGGTATTCTGACATGCCCCTAAGTTTAGAGTTCTAGTAAGAACTCTAAAGATGTTATTGATATAGCAGATCCCTGAATCTTTCACCCTCTGGGAAACTTGTTTTCCATCTTTTTTTTTTTCCAGTAATAGGGATTGAACTCAGGGACACTCTCCCACTGAGCTACATTCCCAGCCTTTTTTTAAAAAATGTATTTTTAGTTGTAATGAAACAATACCTTTTTTTTTTTTTTTTGGTGCTGGGGATTGACCCCAGGGTCTTGTGCCTACAAGGCAGGCACTCTACCAACTGAGCTATATCCCCAGTCCTGTTCTGCTTTTTTTTTTTTGTGGTGCTGAGGATGGAACCCAGCGCTTCACATGTGGTAGGCGAGAGAGGCGAGAGCTCTACCGCTGAGCCACAATCCCAACCTCCCCATTCATTTTTATTTTTGTGTTGAGACAGTGTCTCACGAAGTTGCCCAGACTGGCCTTGAATTATCATCCTCCTGCCTCAGCCTCCAGAGTAGCTGGGATTACAGGTGTGTTCAATCACACCTGGCTGCAGAAAACATGTTTCTTATGAAAGTTTCCAATGTTCTAGCAACTTCTTGTATATTTGGTCCAATAAATATGATATCAACATGATTAATTAATGTGATCCCTTTATAGGATCTGGATAGCCAAAATCTATCCAAATTATAACAAAGGACAAGAAAGTTCAAATAGGCATGGCGGAAAACATAAATGTATACTGTAATCTCCCTGTGAATGCAAATCACTGAGCTACATCCCCAGCCTTTCTTATTTTTTTAGGTACCAGGGATTGAACTCAGGGGTACTGGACCACTGAGCCACATCCCCAGACCTATTTTGTATTTTATTTAGAGACAGGATCTCACTGAGTTGCTTAGCTCCTTGCTTTTGCTGAGGTTAGGTTCGAACTCACTATCCTTCTCCAGCTGGTGGGATAACAGGCGTGCGCCACTGCGCCTGGCTTATTTCACTTTTTTATTTTTGAGGAAGGGTTTTACTAACATTTGGAACTAGAGGAAAATAGAATAATTGGCTTGAGAAAGCAGAGTTCCCCATGCCTGGTTTTCAAATACAGGTTTGAGGCAGGCAGATATTCTAGAAGGAACAAAAATGTCCTCGAGAGTTGAGAGAATCATACAAATGTCTGCCTAGACCTTTTCATATATTATCATCTTTCCACACCATAATGTAAAAACAAAACCAAATAAGAAACAAAAACCGGCCTTCGTACTCAATTGCGCAGGGGACTCATACCGGTGTCCTTAATCATTGCCAACCACCTGCCACAAAGTGGATCCTCAACCCCTGTTTGTTGGATGATTAACTTAACCTGTTTTAGGGTCTCGTTCTGTGATACTAACTTTAGTTACCAATTTGTGGGAAACATTGTAGTTCCTTGAGGACATTGTGGATGAATACTCGCTGCCACAACAGCGCAGCAGGTATCTTCGGCGCCAGGGCTTCTGCCAGTAATGACTACTAATTTCTTCGCCTTTTTCCTCCCTCTGGTCTGCAGGATATAGAGGACCTTAGGGTCACAAGGTCGTAGTAGTTGGCACGGTCGTGGAGACTAGCAGGATGCTTAGAGAACTACATTTCCCAGCTGACTCCTGCGCGCGCCCCTACTGGTGCGCTGGGGGCGAGTGCACCGGGCGCTCGCTCCCTGCCGAGTGCTCCTAGCCCGGCTGAGCCTGTGCCAGGGTATGAGGTGGGAGGCGCTAGAAACCACTTAGCTACAGCCAACCGCCCAATGCAGCACTCGCTCGCTCCCCCCACCAGCGGAAGCGCCCGCGGAGCACAATGCAGCACTGAGGCAGCGCCGCGGTGGAGGCTGCAGCTCCTTGGCAGCTGCAGCATCGGCCCGGGCTGGGAGGGGGCGGCTGAGGGGAGCCGGAGGGCTCTGAGCTAGAGAGCCGGACCCGGCAGCCCCGGCATGAGAAGCTGAGCGTCTCGGGCGCGGTAGGCTGACAGCAGCACCATGCAGGCGGCAGCGACTGCGTCCGTGCCCTTCTTGCTGCTCTGCGCCCTGGGGACCTGTCCCCCGGCGCTCTGCGGCCGGGCAGGTAAGTTCGCCACCCTCAGTGGCTTCGGGATGTACCATTTTTCCGGTAGTCTTCGGAGCTCTCGGGCTCATTGAAAAGGGGCACCCCCATTTCTCGAGTGCGCGGGGAGATTTTTTTTTTTTTTTTTTAATTTGGAAGGGTGATGAAAAGCGGAGCAAAAATGCATGTATGGGGGCGCGCGGATGCACTAGAAGCCTTGGGTCAAATGCCTGTTTTTCTTAAGAGGACCGGGGAGAATGGGAAAGGGGTACCCTGCCTTTGGGCCCCAATCCTGGATGCTCTCAGATGAGCTGGTCCAAGGTTCTCCAGCTGGTGCCTCTGCGTCCTTCCAGATGGGGTCCGGGAGGGAGGAGGCGGTGGAATTTTCGTGAGGGAGAGATGTAGGACCACGGGAGGGACGAGTGTGGGTCAGAGTCTTTATTTTTGCCTTTTCTCTCCACTCCCTTCTGCCCCCCTCCCTGCCTGGAAGGAGACGCCTCTTTGACGGAGCTGGAAAGGAGGAACGAAAACCGCTTCCTGGAGCGCCAGAGCATCGTGCCTCTGCGCCTCATCTACCGCTCGGGAGGCGAAGACGAAACTCAGCATGACGAGCTCAACACTCGGGTGCGGGGCGACCTCGGCGGCCAGCAGGTGAGAGCGCTGTGCAGGAGGTGTCCTTCGAGCGGCCTGGCCCACCCGCGACCTCACGTTTGCTCTTGGTTGCCCTGGAGACGGGTGACTTGGGTGAAATCAGCGCAATCCTAATGCGAGTCATGCAAAAAGAAGGGGGAAAAGGGACTTAAAAAAAAAAAAAATGAACCGAAAGAAGCACTGCTGAGAGCTTTGCTTTGCTCCACGGGAAGTAGGGTACTTTGGGCGGGATACCTCCAGCAGAGCAGTAACCTTAGTGAAGGGGCGGGGAGGGAGTAGACCCTCTCATTTTAGTCAAGCAAAAAACTTGCATAGGGGAGGAGATTATATATGGGCAGGTTTGCATCATCATTGTTGTTTAATGCTGAAAGCTTAGACTTTGTAATGCAAGATTGGTACTGTAAAAGAATGGGGGGGGGGGGGGGGGGGGCGTTCCTAAGAAACCCAAACTGTAAAAATAAGTTAAACTTAAGTTCTCTGATCACTTAGATTTGTGGAAACCAAAGATTCACCACTACTTTCTACAGAAGGGGTTCCCCCCGCCCCTTTCTTCATTAGTAGCAGTTCTCTTGGTGTAATTAGGGCTGTTTTGTTTATTAAGCATCTAAAATTATTTTAAAAACCTAGCTTATGATTGTATCTGTATTTAGATCAATGTCTCATATCTACAGATATGTTTGAAAATTATTTAGAATTTATCAGCTAATTTTAGTAAATATTTTGGGAGCTGTGTAAGTATTTTTGAATTTATAGCTATAAACCTGGCAGGCAGTTCACCCAATTGTAAGTACATATTAAGGTAGAACTTATTCATGTAGTTGAAATTTTTTTTAAACTTCACTGAAGCAAAGGCAAACTGAACATTTTCACATGCTTAAATATACTCACCAATACTTTAAGATATATCTGAGTGAAGTGATATTTATATTGACTTATCCATATATGTAAACTATGTAAAATTAGAAAAATATTATTTACATCTGAATTTGTAACCAAATACTTGATTCTGTTAAAATTTTGTCAATTACGATAAGACATTAATCTAAGGACTACTGTAATATCCATCAAAGTTAGATTATTTTAGTAGAAGACATACTATTCCAAGTCATTTTAATGGAGTCTATTATTTAAATTAATGTTTGGTACCTGCCTATTTTCCATTTTGACTTGTTTTCATTGGAAAACTGAAAGAGAAGGGAGCATAGTTTCTTAATCTTATTTTTCAAATAATTAGGAGTATTTTTGTGGAGGAATATTCTCATGCCAATTTGCAACCTTTGATTATAAAAAATATCAAACACACAAAACTAGACAGAATAACATAATGAACCCCCACTTTCAATGTTTAGCAACTGCTGTTTTATCTCTACTCTCTACTTATTCTTTCCCCTTGTGTATTATTTTGAAGCAAAAATTTCAGTAGTATACCCCTGAAAGGTAAGAATTCTTTTAAAACATGTAACCCTGACATTATGGTATTTTAAAATATTAAGAATAATTTCTTACCACTATTGAATAGCGAGTTTTTCCAGAAAAACTTCAAGTATCATATATGTACATGTACATATATGTGTTATGTGTGTATATATATAATATTTTATTTATATTTTATATACACACATATATATTATATATGTAAATATGTGTGTGTGTGTGTGTGTGTATATATATATCTCACATTTGTCTATTTGAACAAGGATCCAATTAATGCCTAGAGACCACGATTGGTTTATTTATTTTTTTTTTAGGCTTCTTTTAATGTGTGATTTCCTCTCTCCATTTCTTTGGTTTTTTTTTTTTTAATGTTATTTATTAAAGACTTGAAGTCTTTCATCATGTAGTTTCCCACAGTCTGAATTTTGCTGAGATACAGCTGGGCTTTAGAACAAATCACAGAGACTTTCTGGGAGAGGAAGGACAGAAGGAAGCAGAGATACAGAAAAACCACAGGATTGAACCTGGAAACTCTGAGTCTCTGCCTCAATGCTGGTAATGCTGTCTTCAGTAACTTCTGACCTACTGTGTGTTGGTGAAAGACCAACATTTTGAAAAACAAGCCAGTCCTTTTCTCACCATTTATAGGGCACTACTTCTGCAGTTTTTTGATTCATAGACCTGTCCACATTGGTCAGAAAATACCTTGGGCCCCTGCAGATTTTACTTCTTAGAGCAATAAATCTCACAATTGAGAAGAATGACTCTTGACTTTTGGTGAGGTGTGAATAAATTGGTAGAATTTAGGTTAAGCACCATGACTACATTATTAATTCAAGTTAGAAGTGAAAGTTTGTATTGTCATCAAAGTAATTATTACAATTAATTATTATAAGAAATTGTCCCAGTGCTTGGCACATAGGCCACACAATATATTTTTTCTTTTTTCTTAAAAATTTTTTTTTAATTGTAGTTGAACACAATACCTGTATTTTGTTTTGTTTTTATGTCATGCTGAGGATTGAACCCAGTGCCTCACACAGTGCTAGGCAAGTGCTCTACCACTGAGCTACAACTCCAGCCCTCACACAGTATATCTTGATGTCTGCATCACTTGGGGATCCATTGCAGTTCATCATGTTCCTTAAACTACTGCTGAAATCATAGTCAACTAGGACTGCATCTGGCAGTTAGGATTGCAAAGACCTATTTGACATAGGCCAACTTTTACTACAATTAGGAAACTAAGAAGTTTTCTTGCACTTCTGGCATTTCTAGTTTTCTAAGCGTTGTCGTTGGACCTGAAAAAATAAGTTGGTTTTATACGGATCTTGCTATTTCTTTGGTAATTAAAAGATATCTTTAGGTATCCACAGATATTTTTAGCAATTTTTTATGTGTGTGTGTTGCAGAAATAAAGTCAGGATGACTTTTTTGTGAGCTCACAAAGTTTATATATAGATTTTTCAATTCGTTTATTTAAAAGACATTTATTTACATGGGCTCCTGCTTTGCAGCAATTTTTGTGCAAGGCCCTAGGACTTTACAGATAAAAGACACAGTTCTAGCCTCTAAGGTGTTCACAGACTAGTGGGAAGATGAATGAATGAATAAGCAATTCCTTTTGCCCTTCCCCATGGTTTTCTGGAAGTGATCAAAGATGGCTGTGAAAACAGAGAAGTCCCAGCACTAACCTAAGTAAGCAGTCAGGGTGGGCTTTTTGGAGGGCGCACTGTCTTAGTTGTGTTTTGAGAGGGGAATTAGTAATTGGCTATTTTAAAGGGAGGGAATGGGCACAGCCAACTGAAGGGAGAGCAAGGACATAGGAATGTGAAGTCTGGACTTGTCTTTGTTAACTGCAGATAGTTAAGACTTAAGGGACCAAAGAGACAAAAGAAGAAAGCAGGGAATTGATGCTGTAGCACTTTCCTGATTTACTGAGGAATGTGGACTTAATCCAGTAGGCTGTCCAAGGATTTTAGTAAGGAGCATTAATTGGTTAGATTCATGCTACAGTGGGATGGTCCTGTTTGTTAGAAATGAATACTCTTAATTTCAAAGAGTCAATGAATATGATTATTTACTTTTACTCATTGTTAAATACCAGTTCACATCATCATTAAGCCTCATAAGAACTTAGTTACTAAATATACTGAAAATACTGTATAGGGAGTTAATGTTTGTAAAGCACTTAGGACAATGCTGGGCATATAGTAAGTACTCTGAGTCTGTTAAATAACGTTAACTCCCTCACGCTGCTTGAGTATTATTTAGAAATTTTATGACATCACTGGAATGCAAAATGGTGTCCTAATTACAGGAGTGTAACATTTCCAGAAGTGAGTTACAAATTATCCAGATTTACATGACTGAATTGAACTGATTTGTCCTAGAGAGAACAGACCTAATAGGTCATTTAAATTCAGTTATCACTTAATAAGATCAAGCAATTGACCTATGTATTACTCAATGATTCATAAAACTCATAAGAACTATGACAGAATAAAAACTTTAATTTTATTCTTATTGTGTCCTTGTTTCAGTTTTCAGCCCTAAATGGGAACAATTTTTATTTTGGAAGAGATTTAATTTTAGTTCTGTTTAAATGCTGACAATTTGATGAGTGTGAAATAGTGCTTTTGTTGATGAGTCCATCTTGTAAAACATTTCATTTTTACATAGTCAGTTACTTCAAAGCACATTTTATTTTTTATTCCAAGTGAGATTATTAGCTCATGCTAAAAGCTTATTATTCCATAAAGTCCTAAAAACAGTAGTTAAAATGATTATACTTGACTGTGGGTAACCTTGCTGTCTTCAAGGTTGTCTACTAGTTTGAAGTAATTTCAGTCTTGGAAGATGGCACTAGAATAAAGTAGTCTTTCTTCTGTCTTGAAAGTATTTATGGTGAAAGAATTGCATGTGTTAGATAAAAAGATAGAATTTTTAATTTTTTTAAACTGGTTACCTATTTGGGCAAGATATTGCCTACTTAGTCTCACTGATGATTTGATATTGATAATCTTGTAATTGCTATTTTATAGAATATAAGCACCTTAATGATTACTCTTTTTTTTTTTTTTTTTTTTTTTGCCTGCCAAGCATCACAAATTTATTGTAGCAACAAAGATAGGTTATTTGGTAGTTTATTTTGTTGTGTAGTCACCTTATAAATTATGCATAATTTGTTGTATACTCAAGTGAGTATATTTCTCTACAAATAGCGGACATTATTTTTGTCAGTGAATTAGGCGGGTCACTTTTTTTTTTCTTTCTTCCTTTAGAAAGTGTTGTACCTTCTCAAGTAGTTGGTCAGGTGCCAAGGACATAGCTCTACAATTTATCAGAGTTTTGAAAACCAGTAATGACTGGAGAAAATGCAAGACGATAGCAAGATTGAAAGTAGAAGGTGTTCTCTATTCTGTTTGAATGTATTTTTATATATATACCTAAGCATGGATGAACTGTACTTAAAATTGTGCTGTTTCATTTGGGAGCACTGAGTCAGCTTGACAGTAAATTGTCTGCAATACTGCTTCCCTGGCGGTAAAGGAATCCTAGGAATT